AAAAGGGGTTAAAATCAATAATAAAAGTGTGTTTTGGTTACGATTAACGAAATTATCGATAAAAATCTATACAATTAAATTATACGTAAAGTTATTATTGAAAACAAATAAAACAAAATATAATTTTTAAATGAATGGACGGTTCTTAACCGTCGGTTAATGTATATATTTTGTTATTTACTGTACACTCTGAACAACAAAGTGAAATACTTAATATCGCATTACATAATAAATAAAATATACATTTAAATTAAAATATAATTATAATATCATTAAATACAAGAAAAACACAATACCAATGATAAACGCATTAAATAAAAGTTTTTTAATTTATAATCAATAAAAACAACAATCATGAAACAATTAAATGTTAGTTACATTTATACAAGAAATTTATTTAAATATTACATTTATTTAAAAACACAAAACAAATAAATAAAATTCAATTGTTTTGTAAACTTGTAATTCGTTTGTAAAAAATATTAATCAAATAAAAAAATTTAATTAAATTTCTAATTAGTTTTTATAACATTGAATTTAATTGAAACCAATTTTATGATTAGGTTGTTAGAATGAAACTTATTAAATTAAACATGTTGGAAAAAATTAATTACAACTATAAATACAAGACACATTTTAAAGGCAGATTAAACATGTTTATTTTTCTCTATAAGTAGATCATCTTATATTACATAAGGATATAAGATATATTCACGATTCTTGTGGACATTTATGCTTTTTCTTTATTTTTACAAACATGTAAATCAAACACAACCTAAAAGTTTGTCATCTGTTTTGAAAACTTTTCCCAATTAACTTAAATATTTAAAAGTATAGGAAATTGTGATTACAAATGAGTTTTCTGACGGTCTCTGAGATAAGCCGATAGTAAATATGATATATTAATATGTTTTAAAGACATTTATATTATTATTTTCAGTTATCTATTTATAAATGTCATACATTTCCATATCTATTATAAAAACTCATTTATTATTTGATAAATCATTTGCACAAAAACTCATTAAAACAACAAATATATTAAAGTGATGTTTAAACAAAAAAAAACTTAATACAGTATTTAATTGTCTACCGATTTCTCACAACTAAATTATTAATACAACTGTTGATATATTTAATGTAATAATTATTTAATATCTTGATACTAATAGTAATGAATGGCTGTCATTTGTTTATATAGTTATAACATTAGTCTACCATTAATATGCATAATTGTTAAATGAATATGATAAGAGTTATAATTATCTATTGTATTATAATATAATACCTGTAAAAACAATAAATTTTGTTTAATTTATAAATAGTTTATGATAATAGCTAATATAGTAAGCATTTAATTTTGTTTTTATATTAATATAATTTCCATAAGTTTTATCTAAATCGCGATAAGAGATGAGTATTTTTTGGGCTCATATTAGGAAATGTTTTGTGATTTATTAAAAAGCATATAAATTACGATTTGAATCTAATTTTAAAAACATCACCTTAAATATAATGGCAAATAATTTGTCACAAATGATAAGCGCTAACATTGTGTTCACGTATTCATCAATAGAGTATGTGTTCAGTAATTATATAAGTGTTTAGTTTAATAGTAAACCAGAAAATAAAGAAAGAGATAAAACAAAAGCCAATCCTATTATTCAAAGTAAAATATATTGATATATAAGACAACAAAAAGCAATGCACTGTTGGCTCTCTTCAACCATCTTTTTAGGCCATCTATCACTTTAACCATCGGTTTATTCTCAGACCTTATGGTCAAAAATCTATCAATTAATTAAGGAAATACTATTTGTATTGAATTGATAACCAAATGAATTTAATATACAGTATATATAGAGTTGATATATCCGTATATAAAGCAAGCCATCGATCGATAGGCTCTCAAAATATCCATTCATCCCTTGGATGGCATCGCGAAGAACCTAAACGGTTGGCCACCAAAACGCATGTCTAATCCATACCACTCTTTGTCGCTGCCATTGCTTACAACCAAACCATACATACAATGTCTGAATATAAACATATATATACAGAATACAAGAATATTCTGTAGACAAATTTGGCTCATTTTTTCGTGTTTTAAGGCAAACACTTTGAACGATAAAAGCGACAGAATATCCAACAGTTTAGGTGAGAAATACAGAGATATTTATTGAGAGAAAAATAATTACAAACCAAACCATTGTTTCGCTAATTCACACGTCGTTTTGCTTTCTCTCACAGCAAATATAAAAATTATAATTACTTTTGGTTTTGGTTGTTGTTATTGTCGTTATTTCACTGTATGTTATATACTGTTAGTATTGGTACGAAAAATATATGTAACACTATTTCGCCAACAGTTTAATTAAGGGAATCGACAAGAAATCTATTCTCAGTTATTATTGCTTTCTATACAACCGTTTATATCGACCGAAATAATGGTAACGATTGTCTATACTCTGTATTATATTTCTTTATTTAATTGTATTTACATTTAATAAGAATTTAATTTATTATTTTACACAATGTTTAAATATTCAATTGGAAATGTTTATAATTTATTATAACATTAATTTACAAAATGTTTAAACAATTTAATACATGATATTTAGTACGGATTTGTTAACCACGCGTTGGAACTGCTGGTCATCCGAAACTTCGGCGACAAGATATGGGAACAAATCAAGTATTAAACAAATGGCTTATTATATAATTGGATAAAACAAAACACAAAACACATTGATTTTTGTTGTGTATTAAATAACATTAATGTCTATTTGTATTTGAATAGGAAAGAGGCCGAAGTGGAAATGGAGGGCGCATTCCTCGTCCGACTTATATATGACGATGAAATCACATATAATTTGGTCGAAGCGGCCGAAAGAGTATTAAGTAATTGTCATATATTTTTTTTGTTTGAAATATTAATAATTTTACACATATTAATACATGTAAATTATACACAATATGAGCTGTTAATATACATAACCTAAACATAAACACAATTGAAAATTGAACGCTAATTTAATTCATCACGTTTTCATACGGTATTCAAATTACAATTTATTTCTCGTAAATTTATATATGATTTATGTCTCGAAATAGTATTTTTGTTGCATAAAATTTCAGTCATTTATTACATTATTTCCATACATGAAAAACAAAAACAGATATACACTAAAAACCACTCAAAACCACATCAAAAAACATGATAATTACTTGAGACCTAACGCCGCGATTAATCTACTGTCTGACCAGAAATCCCGGCCAACGCTATACTGGAGATGTTTGGCGGTATGTTCTTTGACTTTTGCCAGGAGTCGGGCTATGAGAGCATTTTGCAAGTGTTGGGCGCCTCTCCCCGCGATTTCCTCCAAAATCTGGACGCACTTCACGACCATTTGGCCACAATATACCCGGGAATGCGGGCGCCGTCCTTCAGGTGCACCGAAGACCCGCAGACCGGGACTCTTATACTGCACTACTATAGCGAGAGGGAGGGACTCGAGCCCATTGTGATCGGTATTGTGAAGGTCAGTTTGTGGTTACATGTTAATTAAAGTTTTACATACATGTTTTTATTGTTATTGTATAATTAATTGTGAATATTGTGAATATATTTGAATATCGGTGCCATTTATTTGAAATAATCATATACACTGTTATCCCGTTATAAAATGTATTTTAACGATGTGCATTTTTAATTTTTTGTGTGAAATAAAACATGAAGTTCATTATGCATGTTTTGCATGTTATCTTGTTGTTGTTTTTGTGTTTAATTTTGTATTTTATTTCCCGTTTTGTTTGTCTTTATTTCATATTTTATATTATGTTTTTTGCTGTTAATAATAATATAATAAATTCAATAATAAACAACAAAAATCTTATGAAACACTTTAGCTAATGTTAAAACGCTTATTACAAAAATGCATAACAAGTGTACAAAATTAAAACTACATAATCATAATAATAAGTATAATAAATGGCATCATATTATAAACCATTGGCTATAATGAAGTGTTCGCATAACACATGCATTAAACACATACGGGTTTTAATTTTAAAAACTAAATTAACTTACTTTACGATTAATTATTATAATCATTTCCATACATGAAAAACAAAAACAGATATACACTAAAAACCACTCAAAAC